AATCAAAGTGAAACAATTTACACCCAGGAGTCGAAGTACACAGCATTCCACAGCGGTTGAGGGAAACGCCATTTAGAGAAAAACTATAATCCATAATGACAGAACCATCTAAATACACCTTGCGGTACAGGACACCCCTGCTCTCCACAAAGGCAAGTATACAAAATATAGCAAATAAATTTTCCATTGATAACAGGACACACTGTTGATGTGTGATATTTTGAACCAAAAGTAGCAACAAAAAGAAACTCGTGTGATCCAGACGAAGCTCCTTCCGCCAATTCTATAAATGGATTGCACAACCAGGTAATGTCATATGGTGTTTTGAATTGCGATATAAATCGAAGCTCCAGTGATTTGATTGGAGCTCTGTGAATTCCTGGAATGTAAGCAGCTCGCGAATTTTTTATTCGGCGTCTGATTGGCTGAAAGTTTGACTTCATTTTCAAAATGGATGTCTCCGTGTCGTGGAGAACGCAGGGATGCAGATTTCGTCGTGGTCTCGAGATGTAAACAGGGCTAGCGCTAACCCTAACCCTTAACCTAGCCCTAAAACTTACCCTAACCCACAATCCACACATGACGTCATTTGTGCTAGACCGTCTTCGATCTAGCGTTCTCCCCGTGTCGTGCCACTTCGACGAGACAAACTTCGATTCAAGAATTATCGATCGATCAGTAATATGATTTTTATCCAAGTTCATGTTATTACCTTCCTTTTAAAATAACTAATTCTAATTTAGTAGGTGTGTCTGTTAATACACATATTTTATCGTCGTTTTTCGATCCTAATCATATACATGGACAGGGCCAGCCGTTCTCTTCATAAGCCCATTAGCAACAATGTAAGGCTAGCTTTGAAAAAAAACTCACTGATACCCCCGTCCGACAGGGATGGCGTCCTTACTGCGCTGCTACGGCGACGGAAAATGGTTTCAAGATCGCCATAAGAATGGTGTAAACGCCAGATATCGTGCCGTGGTCTCCATGGTCGCCAATACTTATCGCTGAGTTGCGGCGTTTGTTTTAAACATGTTCACAACAAACGCCGAGGTTCTGCGATCTGACCGGGAATGCTGTGAGAATGTGGTGGGATCGCGAGGGAACCGAGACAAGCGTTGTAACATCTCCATGAACGCAGTACACACGCAGTACACACGTGGCAAAGACGCTGTGACAATGTAACATTTGCATCCGCGACTTCATGGCGTCTTCACCACGACTCTCGCGTGGCTGCCACGACCCCACCAAGCGTTACGATGATTTTACCACATCTTCATGGCGCTCCCAGTGCGCCTATGGCGATCTTATGGGGTTCCCACTGCGTTTATGAAGTTCTTAATACGACAAAGGCGCGGTTGCTAAGCTTGCATTACTCTCCTATGATTTCCATATACGACTTGCTGTAAAAAAAAAACCACAGGCGATTCAAAAGTCATACGTCAGTGTGTATGTCGTCATCATGAAATTTCAAAAAATTTACCAGCTTATATAGTCACCGTGATCACATGGTAGAAACGCACGTGTGGTAAGAACCCCATGAGCGTGGTTAGAGCGCCGCGGGTTCGCCGATGATCGCCGTTGCCATGTCAATAGAAACGCCATAAGCGTAGGAAGGTCGTGACGAGCACACAGTGAGAAAGCGGTATAATCGCACAGGTCGCGGAAGGAACGCGACTTTTTTCAAGTTTGTAATTTTTTGAGACATTTTCTCGTGTTGTGTTCACTTTCTGGTCGCCGTACGGTCGCAGCACCGCAGTAAGGACGCCACCCGGTCTGACGAGGGCATGAGCGAGTTGTATTTAGTTTTTATACGTCCATAATGTGGACGTATATTGCCGTCGCCCCTGTCTCTGTGTGTCGCCTACAGGCCACAATTCTAAAGTGATCATCTTGAAACTTTACATACTTATTTCTTATACCCTAATGATGATCCCTATTGTTTTTGGTGCATGTCCGACCCCCAGAGGCAGATCCACGCCCATTTCTTGTATTTGTTTGTCGTCTACTGGCCGCATTTCTTAACGTATCATCTTGAAAGTTTGTATACTTATTCTTTGTACCCTAAGGAACATCCCTATCGTTTGGGGTGCATGCCCAACCCCACGGACAGAGCCACGCCCATTTTCTTTTTGTGTGTCGCCTACAGGTCACAATTCCTGATCGATCGTCTTGAAAAATTTTCATATGAATTCCTTATACCCTAAGAATGATCCCTATTGTTTTTGGTGCATGCCCGACCCCAAGTGGCAGAGCCACGTCCATTTCTTGTATTTATTTGTGTCATCTACAGGCCGCATATCTTAACGTTTCAACTTGACATTTTGCATAATTATTCCTTATATCCTAAGGAACATCCCTATTGTTGGTGGTGAATGCCCAACCACCAGGGGCAGAGCCACGCCAATTTTTTGTGTGTCTGTGTGTCACTTACAGTCCGCAATTCTTAAGGGCGTCAACTGGTGATTTAGGTGAATGCCCCGATCCCCAGGGGCAGAGCCGCTCCCAGTTTTTACCTTTAGCGCCCGAAGGCCACAATTCTGAATGAATTATCTAATCTTGGAACTTGGTATAGTGTTTCCTTATACCTAAGGACGGCAACTATTGATGTTGGTGCACGACGTATATTGATTGCAACGTTATACAATTAGCGATGCTCTTGTTAAAGTAATACTTCAGTTATGAAATCTGCCCCGCGTTTTAATCCCTTAACTCTCGTTTCGCAAGGCGACGTAAGGCGCTTTTAGATTTTAGACCGTTACGGTCTCTAAAAACGACTTTATGCAAAATAACCATGCCGACGGTTTGTTAGACATCGCCGTAGCGCCACATCAGCTTCGCCCATGGATAATACTGCAAACACGGCGTAGATATAGTTAAACGAATAAATTATTAACCGTGTGTTGGTTGTATTTTATTCTTTAATATTATTAAGATACACCGGGTTCATCAACAATGGATTCGTTGCAAAAAAAAAAAACAACTAACAACGGTGCTTTGTTTTACACAGATGAATTATGATACCTCCTAATAGGCTAGCTGTTTAAGTCCATTAGGGTTATTTGGTATGGTTGGAAGGGTAATTTTATCAACAATATAGAACCGGTTCTTGGGCGATCTTCAAAATGGGATATAATATTTATTTGTGATTTCCATAGCAACTATAAACATTACTATCATATATGCAAATTTAGAAGTTTGGGACAAAAATATGTACTGGTCATCCATTAATCTTTTAGATGGTAGTAAATTGTTTTTAACTTTTTTCAGCATGAAAGAACAAGAACCAATAAGCTAACCCTACCCCAACCAAATCTATTATTTTTAAAGAACTCCTGGTCAGTGGTTAAAATGACCACTTTACCCAAGGACCACTAAAGCCCCTTTTGAAGTATTGGTCGGTCTATATGTAATGGATTTTGTGTGTTTATTAAGTCAGAAAAGGGACAGTATTGGGGGGGGGGGGTCTATTCTGTCTTACTTAAAGCATTGCACCATTGTTCAAGCAGTCATATGAACCATATTTAGATTAATATTAACCTGTGACATGTTTTCAATACCTTATCTTAGCATTGTTAACCAACCTGATCAGATAAGACTCGTACTAAAAGGAATTTTGTTGTCGAGTATAGTAGAGCTTTTTTTGTCACAATCAAATTATAGGCCCGCCAATCTTTATCTTCAAGCTACAGATGCAAAACGACGATTTACAAACCAGCAACAAAATGACCACCAACAGGCGTCAGTGACTTTAATAAAATAAAACCAAGTACGAACAATCCAAACCATTAGACAAAACTCGAAGTCCTTAAAGAACGGTATAGGCAAAATGGTGTAATCAGCAAATAGACTGTTTACCGTGTACAAAATATTAGTTTTATATTTCCCACAAATAGTCTATCATAAGCCAGGAGCGTCTGTAAACATATCAGTGTAAGCAGACTGAATAAAAATGTATTACTTTCAATGTCTGTTCGAGATCATGGCTTATGGTAGATCGGGGATCACGTGGCTAAGTGGGTAAGACGCTAGCTCGCTAGCCTGGAGGTCGGGTGTTCGATCCCTGCATTGGCCGAGAAAGTTCATCCAGATTTTCCGGCTTGGTTCTCCCTTGTCAGTGATGCAGGACGGAGGGGCTGACAAGGAAAGCTGTCTAGTCGTTCGGATGGGACGAAAAACCGAGGTCCCGTGTACACATTGGCGTGCACGTAAAAGATCCCTTGGCAGTTGGAATTCGATATAAGAGTAGGCCGTAGTGCCGCTGTCCGGGCAAAATTTCCCTCATAGCACACTGTATGGCGTATGCCCGTCTTCATTAGCCCAGGTTAGGAGCAGAACAGTAGGACGTCTTGTCCGCGAGATTGTCTTCTGGGCTTGTGCAGGGCGCGGTTCTTCTTCATTAATTGCTTTTAATTAGTAGTCCGGCAGCCAAACCCAGTTTACGCCTTGACATATAGAGAGAAAGAAATGGGGTTTAACGTCCACTCGACACAACTATGTCATTTCGGGACTTACATATGGTTTAATTTTATTTCAATAATTCGCTTGCGCGTAGGGGTCTTCAGCAGTGGGAGGAAACCGGAGGACCCGGAGAAAACCCACGAGGTTGGAAAGGCGACCCTACTCCTTGTCAAGTACTACCGGGGATTCGAAACCACGCCACTTGACTCAATGGCAGGCTTTATGATACAGCGCGCACGTGCTAACCATTCGCCCCCCCCCCCCCGGAAATATAGTCCACCAATTAAAGGGTGTGCTGCGTGGACATTACGTGGCCTCTTTGGATAGCTACTGTTTCTCGTTAGTGAAAAGAAGGCCTTAATTGTGTACATATGGAGTATTACCAGGCACGGGACGAGGTGATCGCTGATATTCCATGAAAAAGATCCGGTGGTGATCTCTCCTAGACTAGAAATTTTGGGCTTTGTGGAACATGCTAGAGTATTGCTTTGAATACTTGGGTTTTGCCAGGGCGTTTCCATTATATAAAATAGTTAATATATGAAATAATATATTTAATAATACAATAAGAGTATTTACATTATAAAATGAGTTTTGTGTTAAATTATATGAACTCCATACAATGTATTATTACATTACATACATGTAATTACATTTTGAATCACGTTACAAATATATTATCACTCAGTATTTATCATAGTATTATATAAATATTATTATGCTACGTTACAAAATGTACTATTACATGTCACTTATACATTATTACATCTTAGGACATTATATAACATAATATTATTAGAGTATTACTATTGACATGCTGTGTCGAGTTGTACTAATGATTAAAACATTGATGAATTTGAAATAGTTAGTGTATATAACATTATATTATTACGCTACAAAATGTACTATTAATGCCACTTACTTGTGGCGTCGGGTTGTTATGGTTCTTTCGAAACAGGAAGTGTTTATCTCAAAATATTACATCTTAATACGACTAAATCTATTGGTTAAGGCCAGCTCAACGATCTCAAGGTCGTTGAGATGTAACTAAGGTTAGGGCACGTGATTGTTGACGAGATTGTAGGTTAGGGTTAGGATAATCATTAGGGCCAGTGTTGGGGTAGGGATTAGCCCTGTTTACATCTATTGACCTTTGACCAAACTTGTAGTTGGCCTTATCAAATAGATCTAACCATCTTAATACATCATGTAATATTGTATTATTATGCTACAGTATTACGTTACAAAATGTACTATTAATTCCACTTACATTACATTCAACATCTAGCAGTACCAAGCTGCTGCGTCGAGTTGTTCTTATGATTCAAGCGTGGTTAAATGGGCAAAAGGTCCCCTCTAAATTCCAAACAGAAAGTGCCTTACCATTGTATAACATTACGTTGCAAAATGTACTATTACATGCAACTTTTATTACATTATACCCTATTACACCACAGTATAATGTTACAAAATGTACTATTACATATTACTTGTACATGTAAAGTATTACATCTTAGTGCATTATATAACATTATATTATCAGAATAACACAATTCGATATTTTATTTTGAACTAAGCCAATTGCTAACAATAACTTGAAAAGGACATACAAAATAAGTAACTGAACGAAATCCACCTAGTGGCACGTCAGCTTCTACCGAGACAAAATAGTAATACAAAATTATATATTTATTTAAAGGAGATCGTGGTGAGTAGTTAGGATAGAAATTGTGATTTCACCAGACTTTACATTTTTTCTCTGGATTCATGAAACTGCTAGCCGGACAACTAAAAGCTTCAGCAAACTCCACAGAATTTCGTAATGTTCCTATAACTCTGAAATATAATAAATGGGCAAATGTTACTTTACCGGATCAGTAGCACTTACAGTATGTGCAGGATTTCCTAAAGGGAAGGGTGGGTCACAATTTCTTATAACTTAATTAAATTGATTACTCCCTCATTATACATGGGTAAACATGATTACCCCTCCCCCTTTCCCACAAGTAATACCCATTTAATTTTATGCCACATAATGTTCTTGCTTTAATTGATTACTCCACCATTATATTTGGGTGAACATGATTACCCCCCTTCCCCTTTCCCATAAGTAATACCCATTTAATGCTGGACAAGTGAAATTCGTGTAGACTTATTGAATACTTCAATAAGGTTCGTAATAATTTTATGCCACATAATGCTCTTGCTTTAATTGATTACTCCCCCATTATATTTGGGTGAACTTGATTACCCCCGCCGCTTTCCCACAAGTAATACCCAATTAATGCTGGATAGGTGAAATACGTGTAGACTTATTGAATAATATAATAAGCTAGTAATACTTTTATGCCACATAATGCTTTTGCTTTAATTTTGAAACTAACCTGAATCTGTTGGGACTGTGAACACCTGTTAAAATTCTATTTATAGCACTCTCCTTTCTCATGTTGCTACACCATATCTGGTATATAAAAATATTATATTATATTAAAGCTATAGTTGCATTTTTTTTTAAATCACATGTTTCAAATATGTCAAAATAAAGCCTTAAAACATATGGAATCTATACACAGTCCTACCTTGTTAAAGAATAAACCTATTAATCCTATAATCCATTATGCTTCATAATCGCCATTTATCTTTAGGCGAACGTGTGCATTTAATTAAAACGAAATGACCACACACAACCTGGCGTGTTGAATCAATTCAAAACTCAGCAAAATTTGCCTTTTCAGGGTTAAAATAATCTAAACGATCACGATATTATTAATATCGCGATATCTTTCTCAGTATTGACAACTATGCGCTTTCATCAGGATAGGACTCGGTAAAGATAACCAATAAATGAGTATTATGACAATACAATTTAAACCAAGATGCTGATCGTCATTTCAGAGATTTTAAATCCATTGCAAACCGCAGTCTTGTGGACGTTGATTCTCTAAAAAGAGCACCAATCCAACGATGGTTACACCAATGCGCTTTTTGAATGCGTATGATCCGAAAGTCTACAGATGTGGCTGATTTCAGAATACTGGAGCTTTAGACATCAGAGGTTAATTGCTGGGTTTGTATTGCTAGCTTCTCAAACACTTTAGGTAACCAGAGTTGTTTAATTTTTTTAGATTCCTACCTGAGCAAAATTGATAAAGAAAAGTTGATTTGGCGTAAAATCTAATCCCGGTAAAACCATTTCTTCTTTTCCTCTCTGTTTTACCCAATTACGATATGCCTAGAATATAAAATAAATCATGACATGTCAATAATACAAACTATAATTATGATATGCCTAGAATATAAACTATAATCACGATATGCCTAAATGGAAAAAATAGTCACGATATGCCTAGAATACACAATAGAATCGCGATATGCATAGAATACAAGATATAGTCACGATATGCCTAGAATACAAAATAGAATCGCGATATGCATAGAACTACAAAATACAATCACGATGTGAGTAGAAATACAGTATATAATCACGATGTGAGTGCAATATAATCACGATATATTTAACATATAATCATGATATATTTAGAATATAATCAAGATATATTCGCGATATATTTAAAATATAATCACGACATATTTAAAATATAATCACGATATATTTAAAATATAATCAAGATATTATTTAAAACATAATCACGATATGTTTAAAATATAATCACAATATTTTTTAAAACATAATCACGATATATTTAAAATATAATCACCATATATTTAACATATAATCACCATATATTTAAAATACAATCACCATATATTTAAAATATTATCAGGATATATTTAAAATATTATGGTGTGTCTAAAGAATGCAAAATTGTAATGATTTTAATGCAAGCACTGTCTTTACTAGATCATCCTGGAGTTTTGTTCCATAAAAGAGTAGACACACCTGTATTCGTGTACGACGCTATTAATAAACATGCCAACAAATTAAAAATCAACCTGGGAACAAATTGTTCGATCTTCGTAGAAAATGTAAAATAGCAAACTGAATCACGAAAAGTGTTAAGGAAAATCCCCAATAAATCAAAACTGATATCAAGAGTTTTACATAGAGTTTGCATGACCTGCCTCGTACACATGCAGCAGCTACTAGATATGATGTAAGGGCGTGTTTATAAGAAGATTACTAGAATACCTGAAAGCTTTGTTTTAATCCACCATTATCTGCTATATTCTCACCCTGGGTATTAATACCATTTATCTTAAAATATTTAAGATTGATAATGATATTATTTATCTTAAAATATATATAGTGGTATTTTTTATCTTAAAACATAAAATATGAATATTATCTATCTATCTATCTATAAAATATAAATTGATTGCTTTTATTATCTTAAAACATAAAATATTAATAATGCCATCTATCTTTAAAATATACATATAGATAGTTATGGTTATATAGCTTAGTGGTGGTTCCAAAGACTAACTCAATAGCCAGAAGGTCCCGGGATCGATTATGTTTATGGCCATGAGAGTTTCATTGGATTTCCGCCCCTCCCCCCTTCTGAGGACCGATGAAACGAAAAGCAAAGGTCGTTCACGTAAAGGAACCCTTGGTTGATGCAGAATAGTAGGACGTTAAACCCAATTTTATTTAATTTACATAACCGATGTCGTGAAAGCAACATGTTTTTAACTAAGAACGGGACAGACCTGAATATATATTTTATGGCAAATGTTTCTGCATAATTTCTCACCTGGATGCCGGCCTCTGGAACAGTAAAGCCGCCATATTGATCAATGACGCATTGGGCCTTGTTCTTAAACTTTGTTATGACGTCATCTGTCCACCATTGTCGTAAATTACCACTTTTGTCATACTGTCGACCTGGTTTGCAAATATATGTGTGAATTATAGATCTATATAACAAATGACTGGAAGATAGGGGCAAAATAATTATAGACATATATATATGCATAACAATATGCGGGAATGTAGCAGAAAATAATTATTTGTGGGCAAATATGTTTTTGCCCTTCCTTTACAAATAGAGGTACCGTGTACAAGTTGGCGATCCATTTCTTATAATTTCACAAAAGACTGCGTTAGTTACAGAGTAATAAATATGTTACCTTGATCATCAAAACCATGCGTTATTTCATGCCCTATAACAACACCAATACCCCCATAGTTGATAGATCTGTAAAAATACAACACTCAGATAATATTTAATTTGTCACGTTTTAATCCATGATAACATGTGAAAACTGTGTGATTTTATGATATATTTAGACTAAAAACATATTCAAAATGTCCTTACAACATCTAGCCATTGGACCAACACATACGAAGCGCTCCTTACATCAGTTGAGCAGACAGGTTAACAGTTAGTGATCCCCTTACATTTTTGTCCTGTGTGCGCCGCATGAGTGTCTTTCAGGGAATCTGGTATTTGTTTTAGTAAGATTGGGTATCTATATATACCAACTCTGTCATACTTTTATTGGAAATGACTGCCCTATAAATACCATTGTGCGACGGCATCTGTAACATTAAATTAAGAAAACGAAACCACAGTATCCAGTTCCTTAGAAGTACTTACTGGGGAAAGTTCTTGTGATAAAATGGCGGCTGTAGAATTCCTGCCGGAAACACTAAAATCATAAAAAAAAACTGAATCAGGTGACATAAATTGACTAAATTATTTCCCCTGAGTCCATGAATGTTGTCCGTCGATTTTTTAAAAGTGTGGAATTTCTTTCAATTGTTAAAGATACATTATGGGAGATTAGATACAGAGCTGGCAGTTCTCACCATAATAGTTAAAAACCAGAAAATGTAAAGGGAATTTTCTGAAAATTTCAGTCAAATTTATTCACTCTGAAGCGAGAATTTAACGATTGAATTTTAGGGGCCTAGCCTCGATCATCCTTACTAAGCAGCAGATTGAATTTCAATCCAGTAATTATCGCAGGCTAGCGATGACATCGAGAGTTGATTATGGGTTGGATAAGTTAATTAATGTCTAATTAATAATTTAGATAACATTTCAGGCCTAAAGAAATACCTGCAATAGGCAGATTTAGCTCTTGCATAATGTATGTTTAAATAAAACTATAACGATAGAGTTCCAATGCTTACTTACCTATCTCATTATTGTTTCCCGAGTAGTAAGCGTTAACTGTGGCAGGGGAGATGTGCCATCTAAAAAAAACAAAAAAAGAGAACATAATCCTTTCATCGGAATTACAGGAAAATAAAGCTGTGTTGAATGAATGTCATAAAAAAAAAACGTTTATCCAATGGGATAGTGGCAAGTAGGCATAGACTTACTTGGTTTTATCCACCGGAAGTCGTAGTTGCCTCTTATTGTAGGCTGCTGATTCTTGTATATTACCGACAATATTCCCGAAATATTCTTCTTCGTTATACGTATACTGTTGAAGATATATAAATCGATGTTAAACAATGTAATGTCAATCACAGCCACAATAGCTATAATATACCCACTCCCACAACAGCTATTTATCAACTCCTATCAGTATAATACAACAACCACAATAGCTATAATATGCCCTCCCACAACAGCTATTTATAATGATGTACCCCCTCCTATCAGGATAGTACAACAGCCACAATAGCTATAATACCTCCTCCCACAATAGCTATAATATATCCCCTCCCACAACAGCTATTTATAATGATGTTTCACCTCCTATCAGTATAATACAACAGGCACAATAGCTATAATATACTCCTCCCACAATAGCTACATGTATAATGATGTACCCTCTACTATCAATAAAATACAACAGCCACAATAGCTATAATACCCTCACCCCACCCCATCAATAAAATACAACAGCTATTCGTATAACATATCTCTTCCATTCAATAAAACAGAACCGCCACAAAAGCTGCATGTATAAGATACCCCCTCCTATCAATAAAATACAACAGCCACAACTGTAATATACCCCTTCCTATCGATAAAATAGAACAGTCACAACAACTGTAATATACCCCTTCCTATCAATAAAATAGAACAGCCACAACTGTAATATACCCCTTCTTGTCTATAAAATAAAACAGCCACAACTGTAATATACCGTTCATATCTATAAAATAGAACAGCCACAACAACTGTAATATACCCTTTCATATCAATAAAATACAACAGCAGTGATAACGACATGTATAATGTATCCCCGCCTATCAATAAAATACAACAGCCGCGATAGCTACATATATAATGTACTCCCTTCTATCAATAAACGTGGTACCGGACGTGTATTTTATATTTTCAATACTAGCCTTATTTCACCTTGTCCGGGGTGCACGAGTGGGTGGGCATTGCAAAGACATTGCGTATCTCGTCGTTCGAACGGTCCGAACTATCGTGTTCACGTCTATACCAATGGTGGCACGTTAAAGATCACGGGTTGGTGCAGATAATTTAGACGTTAAACCCCTTTTCATTTCATTTCTTACTTTTAACAGAACACTAGACGAAACCCCAGATGTTGGATTCACCAGCATCTGTATATTTGGTTAATTCTTGATTACACATTTTTTAAGGTTTTTTGATATTACTTACATTCTTAAGGGGCATGTATCACACTGATCAGAAGTGAATATTCGTTAGGCCGCTACAATCACTGATAAGGATGACATCAATGAGTCTCAAATATTAACTTTTTTCCACCGACAAATTAAATTCTAAAACATTTTTTTGATGTATTAGAAAAATAAATAAAGACGTTTGACGTATTTGTAGGTACAAATTATTTCCTATTTAGTGTAAATGGGTATTAAAATGACTAAAAGGCAGCATGCTGCCCGAAGCAGTAACGTCTTATGTAAACAATGCGCGCGCCATTCAGCCAATGATTGACGCCGCGTGCTGTGACGGCACGTGTTAAAGGCAGTCGTCTTTTACAGAGATATTAGAGAAGACTCGTAATTCTCTGTGAAACAGATTGGGCATGCATCAGTTAGCATTTACTTACATTCTCATATAAACTATTCAAATATGTATCATTTAGAATGCGCTCCTCGTAACCTATTTTATTTCCAATAACATCAGACTGAAATATAAGACAAATAGCACAAGATAATAATAATGGAAGGTTTTTCGTGTCAAACAATAGGAGTTTGGAGTTTGCAAGTTTCAGCCCTATGCATCGTGGCTTCGGAACTTGATTAGTTCGGTGCAAAAATTCTAAATAAATAATTAATTCGGTACTAAATTCTAAATTAATAATTAGTCCGGTGCTAAAAACATAATTCGGTACTAAAATGGTGAAGAAATAACTGGTTCGGTACAAACATGCTAATTAAATTCGGTAAAAAAAATGCTAAAAAAATAACTAGTTTGGTACTAAAATTAATGAAATATGATTAAAACACAGATCCTATTTCGTTTCGTTTTTTATAGTTCAAAATTTCGTTTTACTTGTCTTTACTACATGTGAGGGATTAGCCAATGAAACGGTCTATTACGGTGCGCTTTTGACGTGATGTCCCAAAAAAGCTGATCAGATCTTCATGTAGTGTAGGTCATGGAAAGTATAAAAAAATACGAAACGAAATATAAATCTGAATTTTAATCAGATTGCAAAATGATGAATAAATAATCAGTTTGGAACTAAATGAGAAATGCCACAAATTAGTTCATTATAGTTTATAGGTAAATTACCTTTTCCTTGGCGCTTGTTCTAGTAGTCTCATCCATCCAGTCGTTAGTTTGCAGTAAATTATTAAATGATTTTTGTAGATTACTGATCATCATCAACATCTGAAACACATGAATACATTGTCAACATCTGAAACACCACGCCGGAAAATCACGACGAGCTTTCTCAAAAGGTGGGTCCGGATGAAAAAAAACCCAAGGCACCGTGTACACACTTGCGTGCACGTAAAAGGTCCCTTGGCATTTGGAATTCGATATAATCATAAGAGTAGGCCGTCTGTCCAGGCAGACTTTCCCTGGCAAACTTATAGAACAGTAGGGCGTTAAACCCCATTTCATTTCAATTCCAGTATCATATTTTGAATTCTATAAGATTGGTATACTGTAACATTATCTTAGTGATAACATAGATCAGTTTAGTAAATAATATGATTTATTTACATCAGGTATATACATGTAAAACAGTTACAGTTACATACATACAACAACAATACGGGAACTTAAACTATACAGGAACTAGACTACGACATGGACACATCGGGATGGTGCATAACTACATTAAATCTACCATTCCACCCCTCTGCCAAGGCAGCGGCTGACCTCGGTGAGTCCATACGCCGGTCTTTCGTCTGCGTCTCTCCTCTGCTCTCCCCCGTATCGTATCTGCGTCTCGATATATAGCCCTAATTGCACTGCGTATTTCCTTTGAAGTCATTATCAGATCATGGTATGATTACTGACCAGTGCTTATTCCTTTGAAGTCATGTGGAGCTTGTACACAGATCATACGTAATTAGATCATAGCCTGTCCGTGCCTTAACAGAAGTTTATACAGTGTTGAAAAGTCAATATCATATACATGTATTATCAAAAACGAGCTGAGGTCATAAAGTTCTAAGCACCTAATGATCGTTTAATTTGATGAAAGTTATAGAGTACTTTGTTACAATCAGTCGCCAGTTTAAAGCCGCTGATCATCACTATATATATGCTAAGAAAATATGAATTGGCAATTTACCATAATTAGGCAACCACTACCGACGATATAAACGGAGATATGGTCAAAGCAACCCCAATTGGTTGGGCTCCAAAGAACATCACCTAGTTGTTCGGATGGACCAAAAACCGAGGTCTTGTGTGCACGTTGGTGTATACGTAGACGAAACCTTGGCAATTGGAATTCCGGGGTCAATTTTCCCCACAGCACACTGCTTCATTAACCCGGGTAGAGCAGAAACCCAAACCAAGTATACTGAAATAATATAAAAAAAACTATTTACGTCTGCTTTAGCTTCTTCATCAAAAGCCTCTTTGATAAAACCTCGTCCAACAGCTTTACCTAACGATCTACCAGTATAGGATACACATGTCTTCCATCTGGCTGGAACAGATGATGTACCGGATAATACCTGGATAAAAACAGTGGAATAATCTAAGACACACAAACAATAATGCTTGCTGGAACAAAAATACTTAATACATTCAATTCTACTGAGTGAAGGAGACGAAACAAGGGCTTAGAATTTAACGTCCACTTGTTACAAACTAGGTCATTTCGGGACTAATACATGGTACAATTTTACTTCAATAATTCGCTTGCGCGTGGGGGTCTTTGGAAGTGAGAGGACCCTACTACTTGTCACGGAATCGGAACCACGCTACTTGACTCAATGACAGACCATTTGCCCCCCCCCCCGACACACACACATACACACACACACACACGCACACACATTCACACACAGACTAAAGATATGAAAGCACAACAAATATGAATTTTCAATAGCAGTTAAAAATTAAACTAAGTGGATCATGACGAACGATTTTCAGTGAACCAGGTACAACTGGATTATAGCGTATAGGTCAGGGGCCAAGTGAAGTGATGCATCGACGCGTTTTGCGTCATGTCATGCCACCTCTCTCAAATGGAAGAGAATCATTTGTGCCAATGCAGTTTTCCACGCTAATAGTGCGCAATTGTCATATCAAAACATTACCCCAGTTGTAAAAGCACTTTGTCAACTTACGGTCACTATATGAAGTATGGTAATGACTGTGACTTTCATGTTTTGAACTTTTATCTTCAGTACTTTATTGCGCCACGGTGGCGTTGTGAGTATAACACTGGTTCGCTAACCTGGAGGTTTCGTGCTCCAGAACTTTAGTGGTGTAAGACAGAGGCAATGGCAAGGGTTAACGTATAGTCGTTTGGATGGGACAAAAAATCGAGGTCCCGTGTACACATTGGCGTGCATGTAAACGAACCCTTGGCAGTTGGAATTCGTTATAAGAGTAGGCCGCAGCTGCGTTGTCCGGGCAAAATTTCCCTCATAGCACACTGCATGGCGTTTGCCCGTCTTCATTAGCCCAGTTTAGGAGCAGAACAGTAGGACGTTAAACCCGATTTCATTTCATTACTTCATCTTACTCAACCAGTGTCTTTGACATATACTGCTACAAATCGACTCTAGTATATTGTAAACAGCGGCATACATAGCTAGCGGTAATCAATGGCTCTGATATTCTATAAATGGCTCTAAACTTTCATACACAGCGATACAAATATTGTTTTTTTTATGTCCAAATCGGATTTCGTTCCACATGCAAAGATCTTTGGTAACCACACCCCTGATTGAGTGACTTACTTTTCCGTACTGTAATAATAAATCTCTGAACTGTTTGGTCAGGGAAGTTATTCTGTTTTTAACTATTCTCCATATTGCATAATTTGTCACGGTTCTAAAATTTAAAACAAAATAATGAATTAGCCACAAGTACAGCACTTAAGATAATTCCAAAATAGACATTGCATAAAGACTGGTCCGGTGAAATGACCTAATGTTGGCTGAGAAAGAACATTGGATCATCAATGGTGTAGGACGATTGGGCCTAGCCAGGACAAGCATCTAGTCGTTCGGATGAGACGAAATCCCATGACCCGTGTATGCCATTGGCAGCATATTTAAAGATCCCCTGACAGAAGAGCCACGATCAAGGCAAACTGCCCTCATAGCACATTGCACGGCTGTCCGGTTGGTACCGAAATGTAGAACGTCAAACAATATCACATCGATCAGTATGGCTGCCAACTTGGGTCCTTTATTACCTCCCCTGTGCTCAAACAAATTATTGAAATACAAAACAAAGTAAGATAAATACCTGGGCGATGTTTCTCCCAGTACAGCAAATAGTTTATCAAAATATGGTGGCGAGTAGTTGATGACTGGTTCATCTTGTGTTATATTGATATTGATGGTAGGTTGAGACATGATTCCTTGTATGTAGGTTAACCAATCGAACTAAAACAAAACAAGAAATGGCATCACATTTAATATATATAACAATAAGGCGCTGGCTCACTAACCAGGAGGTCTCGAATTCGATCCCGGTGTTGGCTAAGAATATTCATGAGTATTATTTAGAGTGGTTTCCCCTTGTCTATGCTGCAGGACAGAGGGACAGCACCTGGTCGTTCGAATGGTACGTAAAACCGCAGTCGCATGTTCACGTTGGGGTGCACGTAAAAGAAGCCTTTACAGTTGGAATTCGATTAAAGTAGGCGAAAGCGCCTCTGTCCGGGAAAAATTTACCCCATAACACACCGCATTAGCTCGTTTGGTCTAGAAGGCAGAAAGTTGGATTCCATTTTAGTTTCCAATTAATTTGTGGACACATTTTAAGGATGTTTAATATTTAATCAAAATATCATTAATATTCTGCATAATTGATATCTACTCAAAATATCATTAATATTCTGCATAATTAATATCTACTCAAAATATCTGGATATAAAGTAGGTTCGAATGCGGCTCAATTATTCACTTATATGTTTTGATTCTATCCCGATTCAGAAGCAGTCATTTGTCGAGTGGATTTAAAGTACAGTAAATACTAATGTATACATATTACTGGCATCGATGCCGTCTGTTAGTGACGTACATGGGCTTTAAAGCTTTTGATTGTAATCAGGTTCAAAAGAAGTCAGTAGTCTAGGTGATGTAATTACTTGAAAGTGAAATTACAGTGAACACCGTCGTTGTTTTGTTCTTAGTGTTTAACGTCCGCTTCCACGCGCAGGGGTCTTTCCTGTGGGAGGAAACCAGGTGAGAAGGCGCCCCTCACCAAGCAACATACGTAGGTATCGAAACCACAGCCGCAAGCCAGAGGTGACCGGCCAGCTAGAGGTCGAAGCGCGGCACTCTAGACCACTAGGCTATCCCAACACCCCTGAACACCGTCTAAAGCCCAGGCTATAAGTATTGTGATTACTTCCATATAACACACATTAACTCCCACCCCACCCAAACTGACGTGTCATTTACTTACATGTGTGTAGTTGCTCATAAAATCCTCTATAGTCATTTTGTTATAAAGTTTCTCAGAATCTCTTCTTTGTTCTGATGGTACGCTTATCTACAAAATAATGAAAGATAACCAATAATATGAGCAATGATGTTTAAAATCGTTAAAATCATGAAATATGAAATATTGCATAAAAGCAGTTTATCCGAAATAACACCGTTTTTGGCTCACCTCGCTGAACGGAAAATTGTCTCAAAGCTACTGATTTTATTAAATTCGCGAGTACCCCCCGCCCCACGTCTTAACGTCAAACTTGATATTGTTTCCACCTTGAACCCCCACAGCTCAAATTCCTGGACACGACATTGACTATGTATGCCTCCAATACATCTGATCGCTATATGTTGACACACTTTCACGGACGCATAATACATATCTGGAATCGAAAGTCTTAGAATGCTGAAAATCAAAATGGTTTTACTCTCCGTTACCAAAGCTTCACATCAAATTTGAAACTAAACAGAGATTGAATGTTAATCAGTTCATATACATCCATATTACATTACTATGTGCGTTGTAACCCATTTGTGTCCATTTCTAGTTGCCAAAGAATAGAGATTTAGTTCCTTTAAAGATTAGATTTACAAGGATGGGACGAGTAGCACAGGTCCTTTTCACAATTAAATAAGGATATTAAAACCTACAGATTAGATTTACTGGAACAGATCGAGAAGTACGTTTGAATTAAGATATTGTAACCTACATTTGCAAGTTTCCATTCAAAATCCACCATATCCATCATATCTTGCTTAGCTGTCGTCTCGTTAGCACCTAGCAGCACGGCTACTTTTGATGCCAAATCTTCATACGCCTTGACCATTGTATCATTTCGTCCTTTAAGATAGTACTTCTGACCCGGCATTCCAAATCCTGGTTGATCTAACTGTACAGAGAACATCATTGGATAATTGAAATTATTTATTTCAGTATCTCAATCATGAGGTGGGGAGGGGGCTAACGCGTGCCCGTTAGATCATAAGGTCTGTCATTGAGTCAAGTGGGTCCGACTAGGGTCACCAGTCCAACCTCGTGGATTTTTCCTCCCATAGCTAAAGGCCCCTAGGTGGAATAAAGTTGAACCATATGTTAGTAACGAAATGACCTGGTTTGTGTCGAGTGAAAGTTAAACCCAATTTCTCTCTTCGGGTTCGAATCCTAGTTAGGAGGAGAAGCATGGCGGTATATTAGATTCAAAATTCTAACGTGCTATCGTGTAATTTCTATTCATGTAATTTCTAAATTAAGACATTTTTCGTCCTAATAAATGAAATCGGATGAAATAGAATTAAAATTGACACTGAACAAATAAATAAATTGAATCATAAATTGTCTTAATTTAGAAATTCCATGAATAGAAGTTAGAAATTAGACGATAGCACGTTAGAATTTTGAATCTAAAGTTAAACACCACAAACGACAACAACAACTTGTCAGGGTAGACGACTAATGTAGATCATTATTCAGAAAATTGCTAAATCTTGTTAAATTTCAACAAATAATTATGTTTGCTGTGCGATTTACTAAACTACGTTTCTATGTAGCAAGGATTAACAACGCCGATGGGCCACAGCCAGGGCTATCGATGACAGCCATACAAGGGACTTTTGCCAGGACAGTGGTATATCTTACCCCATTGAACGACTTGACGATGTTCTTTACCGACACCCTGCCCTGCACCCCTGACAAGGGTAACCCACGCCGCAAAATTACTCACGAAGCTACCAGTGCCGGACAGGGCCCACCTGTCCACCTGTCCGTGGGCCTAAGCTCATTAAAAAAAGTGGGCCTAAGCCTATAAAGAAAAAAAAGGAAAGAAAAGAGAAAGAAAGGAGAGGGGGGGGGAAGAAAAGAAAGAAGGAAGGAGAGGACAGGACACAGGACAGGAGAAAGAAAAAATAGGAAAAAAATGACTGACAAACAACACAAAAAAGAAGTGTACTGCAAGAAAGAACTTTATGAGTTTTTCCTCATTATTCCGAGAACCGTGTAATTCATTTTTTTATTTATGACACTGAAGAAAATTCTCAAATTCATCTAATGATAGTGCTCTTAGTTCGTTCTGTTATCTAATTGTATCAGGAAATCAAAAATTTGCCTTCTTCTGCTTTGGTCTGAAATGCTTGGAAACTGGGAGACACCCCCCCCCCTCCCCGAAGGACGTTGGCGCGCCTTTGGCGCACTCGTGACGCCGCGGACTTGTGTGGGCCTTGGTCAATAACCTGACAGGTGGGCCTTCGGCCTACCAGTCCGGCACTGGAAGCTACCGTGCCTCACTCTAGGCCTTTAACAGAGTGGCTTCTGTTGAAATACTTACATATAAAATATTTACATCTGACTGCTTTTGATCTGCATAAACCCCCATGTCAATGATGGGGAAGTTATTGTATTTGGCTAAACCAACCAGAAGATTTTCCAGACTGTAGCCATTATCTGACCAATTGGGGGAGATAACTGGCCAGGCACCAACACGCGGTAAGAAATCCAATAATGGTTGTATACCATATTCTTCTAACCTTGCTGAAAATTATAAATAATTATATAATCAAAATATTCATCCAAGATCTCCTGCTCAACTGCAAACATATTATCTAGATTATAAACTTTTTGGGGTGTTTAATGATAATAATAATAATGTCATTTGGAGAGCGTTATTCGACACAGAGAGTATGTCATTGTTCAAAGCGTTTGTGATTCAGTTCTGTTCAACACCAAGGCACAACTAAACACTAAATAAATATGTCTTCAATAAGGTTTTAAATGTAGATAAGGGTGGGCATTTTTTGAGGTGGATAGGAAGATTGTTCCAGTATACTGCAGCTGTTTAATTAAATGATCGCGCACCAAAAGATTTTCAGTTGTAGTTGGAAATTTGTCATTTGATCAATGGGTTCTAGAGGCAGAATGGTGATGGATAAACTGTTGTAGGTATGAAGGTGCTGTCCCATTCAATGCTTTGTATGTCAGACACAGCAATTTGAATTTAATCCGCTCATATATCCAAAGCCAGTGTAATGAAGTCAATACTTGAGCAATGTGTTCACGCGGTTTAGTTTTACAGACGATTCTAGCGGCGTGGTTTTGAATTCTTTGTAAACGTTGTAATTGTTAATTTGTTATTCCAGTTAGAACACTGTTACCGTAATCAAGTCGGGAAATGGGCAAACAACGAACACATGTTGACACAGCAATAAACAGCATCTACGGTGATCAGATGTTGCATTGCACCAATATTCCTGAGATGGAAACTACAGGTTTTACAGCAGATCATCAATGTAGTCCAAATGATACAGTTTCCAGGCGATGCCCAATGTTAAAAAATTCATCATATCTTTGTAAATACTGTATGGTATTGCTCCAATTTTGGATTATTCCATTTAGAGATACATAATATTGTAGTATGCCCGGAATTCAAAGTCCCTCAAACGACCATCAGAGCTCCACTGACGCCAAATTTGTGGCATGACGTACATTGAACGGGCGGGATAGTCTACTGTCTTGTACCAAGATCCCCCACGGTGGGCGCATTAGATACTAGCACATATGTATAACCTTATAAAGATTATTAAAATAAAACTCAACTATGCCATTGATTAAGACATCAACATACTTACTTTCATTTAAACATGATGCATACAAGATTTTTGCCTTTTGAAGAGATTCCAGATCGGATGGGTCTATTGTTATTTCCAATAAATCTAGAGAAATAAATTACATAATGATTAAACAGAGTTTCATTGATCTTTGGAATGCAAACGTCTAAACAATATCGTATTTCAGAGCGGATTTTGAATAAATTTATTCTTTTTGTTATCGGGTTCAGTAGAAGCTTAACACACGTTGCTGTATCTTTATTCCACGACAGGGTTTGATTCAGCCACTATGGGCCTGTAGTTAGCATAATATGTCATAAAGAAGACCAAAATTCGAAGTGAAATTGGGTGTTTTAGAAAGAATTGCCATACCAAAGTCAAACAACACACTTACTTTTAAGAATAATCTGTACGTCCTCGCTTACGAGAGTAAAACTGCCATAACTAGATTTGTCTTCCGGTATTACATGTTTCCTCTTCCAGTTACCACAGGCATAACTGTAGAAATCGTCACACGGCTTGATGGTAGAGTCTATAGCATCAACTATCCGGGTAGCTATTAATATGAAATATTTATTAAATCATAATGTAATAATCAGGAATGTGTGACCAGGCATATTTAGCAGTCGCACTTGTAAACTGAAATCCATAACGGAGACGGCTCATCGTAGCAGCCTGCGTTAATGGTACTGAGTCCAGATTAGGTTCCATTAGACACTGTGTCTCGCAATTAAGGAACAACTGCATCTTTAACCACGGAGGTGAGGATATGAATTTCTTAACCCATTCCTATCCAACGCTGGACTTACCTCTCAAATATTACTGGCTCTTCTGGAAAGTTTCTTAAGAAACTAAAGAACGATCGGTTAGCGACCTGGATGTTCAACCATCACTCTATCCGGGTGTCAATTTATTCACGTCTTTCAATAAGATGCTTAAAGTGAAAATAGGGCTTTTTCTTGATATGCAGGTGGAAATGAAACTATTCATGTCCGAATTATTTCTTGTCATTAATCAAATTCTTAAAAAAGGTTACGCAAAACTTAAAGAACTCGCTATCTTGTTTATACCAACTTAATTGAACTAATTTTGGACTGATATTCATTCCATTTGGAGCTTCAACTTCCACAATATTGTAGTCTACAAGGGAATCAGAATCAGAATGAATGAATGAAATGGGGTTTAACGTCCTATTGTTCTGCTCCGACTGGGCTAATGAAGACTGACATACACGATACAGTGTGCTATGACGGAAACTTTGCCCAGGTCTACCCTTATATCGAATTCCAACTGCCAAGGACATTTTACGTGCACGCCAATGTGTACACGGGACCTGGGTTGTTCGTCCCACCCGAACGACTAGACAGCTGTCCTTGCCAGGCTCTTCGTCATGCACCTCTGACGGAGGGAAACCAAGTCGGAAAATCACGAGCCGGAATCAGTCAAATGCTTTCAGTACATGTATTTAAAAGTGGTCCCTATAATATCACTTTAATTTATAGGTAGAATTAAGAAGGATATACTTACCTACACGTATACAGTCCGGCGTCAAACACACACCTAAGAATACACAAATATAAATGGTTCGCTGTTTTCATACTACAGATAGATGCTGACCATTCTTTTGCTCTTATATTTGGCGGCCCAGCATAAAACGGGTACACTATTTAAAGTGGAAGAATTTAAAAGTATTGCACCTATATCATTAATATTTCACATATGGTACAGTATGGATGTTTGACAACTTGCAGATCCATGGATCAAATAGTATAACACAGACTGGTTTTGCAGTAAGCGCTCAGTTTCTACCCAGAAATCGAATTTCGTATGTTCTCCTAAGTTTATTTCTGCCCATTGTGCCCGAATTGTAAACTTACTCTGTTTTTCCGCCAAACGCAACAATAGAAGATAAAATATGCTTACCATCTGCTGATGACGATGCTGAGGACGGGGTTGTTGATGTTGATTGAGGTTTTGTATTAATTACAAACGCTATAACAAGACCAATGATGGCGGCACAAGCTAGAAATATGATACACATCAACCATTTCTCTAGAGTCGATCGTCTACTGCACCAACCACCTTCTTCAAATCTACAATTAGAAATATCTACAAATATCTATTCTGTTGCTGTCCTTCTAGTCGACGTTTTGAGAGCGCTGGCGCCAAGGGGGGAAGGGGCGGTGGTATCAGAACGATAAGTTCCTGTCTTCTTTTTTTTCTTTGAGGGGGGGGGGGGGTGTACAACGACGACATCACAGTGTTTCCTCTTTATAAATTAAAAAAATAATTACAATGTCAGACCTGTTGACATAATTATGTTGACCAGCTGGCTTTGGGTTTGTCGGCTACTTCTACGCTCATTAATATTACATGTCTTTGTATGTTACTGGCAATCTAATTAAAGAATCCTGGACAATGGGTACCGAGTTCGTTGTTTTTCATTCGGTTCATGTATGTATAAAGACCAACTGAGAAATGCGAAACTGGCCATCTAGAGTGGTTCAGTTTATGATTCGGTTGTCGTGGTCCTTGTTGCAAATGGCTAATGGCGTTACGAAAAGGTGCTTTCAACTTCATTCAGGGTTGGAGGGGGGTTGGATGGCTGAATGGTTAGCCTGCGCGCGCTGTATCATAAAGTCTGTCATTGAGTCGACTGGCGTGGTTTCGAATCCCCGGTTGTACGTGACAAGGAGTAGAGGGTTTTCTCCGGGTCCTCCGGTTTCCTCCCACTGCTAAAGACCCCTACGCGCAAGCGAATTATGTAAATAAAATTAAACCATGTTAGTCCCGAAATGACCTAGTTTGTGTCGAGTGGACATTAAACCCCATTTCTCTCTCTCTCTCTCTCTCTCTCTCTCATTCAGGGTTGGGCTTGCTTAGTCACACTTGTAGTGGAATGAAACCCTGGATCGGCTTTAAACCAACTGAATAAATTACTCGCAAGGGTCGTAATCCAGTACAGTATAGTCAAATAAAATAGCCGTCAGAAGATTCTAATAATGTAGGCACTGGACCGAGTATTGTAATAATAAATAATAGTTATATCTGGTTATTTTTTAAGAAATCATTTCACTAAAGGAGTGGTTTTAAACTAACTGAACATAATTGCCCGCAAGGGAGGCAAACCACTCTTGTCTTGTCAGGTTAAAATAACTTTCGTGTGTTTTTAGTTATTTAAATAGGAAAGTAAGTTTTTGATAATAAAACATAGTGATTTCTGGTATTCTTTAATAAATCATTTCACTAAAACAGGTCCTGGCTATTAACCTGGGGTTCGTTAAAAACGAAGCCTTGCAGCTCCTAAAGCTGGCCTTGGTGAGACCTGGTGGATGTTCGAGTCAAAAGTTATTGAGTTACATGTGATGGCGGTAATCGCAACCCTAACCCTAACCCTGGTCCTAGCCCCAATGTTTACCCTAACCTACAATCTCGCCAACAAGCAAGTGTCCTATTTACATCTCAGCGACCTTGACAAAAATTAAGCTAACCTTAACAAATAGATTTAGCCATTACATACCTTATCGTCTCTGGTGAGGCTACCAAAATATTTTTACTTCCTGTAACACTTCCGCCATTTTCTGGCGAATATTTAGAAGCCATTTTACTTTAAATATCCTTTTCTTGTTTCTTAAATAAAAAAATATTTATAGTAAATTCAGAGTCATAAGTTAATCGGAATATTCGCTTCTTATATCTGTGCACATTGGCATGTAAGTATTCTATTGTAGGCCTGTTGCTGAGATCGGGCCAGTCCGGAAGGAATAAGGTTGGTTCGTGAGGAGATCAGGCCGATACGGGAGAGGAGAAGGGGTGTTATATCCTTACCGAAAATTTATGTAGGTTAGAAGACAGGAATGGAACTTTTTGATGGTCATTTCGGAATTATGGCTATTGTTATTTTTGTAATGGGAGAAGTTGCTTATACGAGGGGGAGAGGGGGTGGGGCATATCCATACCGACTATTTAGGTAGAGTAAGAAGAAAGGAATAGAACGTTTTAATGGTCATTTCGGTACTATGGCTATGGTTACTTGTGTAATGGGAGCGGTAAATGAGGCGATATCTAACTAAGTGGTCTTCAAGAACACAAACCCAAGTTGTAGCTTTTACCTATTCTTTCGAAACATGAAAACAGGCATTGCTGGACTGAATGGGTAACGAACGCCTTAAACATACATTATGCAAGAACTAAATCTGCCTATTGCAGGTCTATTTTTAGGCCTGAAATGTTATCTAAATTATTAATTAGACATGGATTAACTTATACAGACCATAATCAACTCTCGATGTAAACGCTAGCCTGCGATATTTATTGGATTAGGATCCGATTTGCTGCTAAACTTTCATTCATGATTTAATCATGACGTGGATAATCGAGACTGTGTTTTTTTATCGTACCGACTAGGCCTAAAATGCAATCGCTAAAATCTCGGTTCAGAGTGGATCAATTTGACTGAAATTTTCAACAAATCCCCTTTACATTATTTAGTTTTTAACCATTATAGTGAGAACTGCCGGCTCTTTATCTAATCTCCCATAATGTATCTTTAATAACCAATCACTTTCCGCGTAAGAGAGCAGTAAGTTTGAGTGACAAACAAAAGGAAAATATATCACGGTTTTTAAATATGAAGTTGGAAAATGAAATGAAATGCAGTAGGGTTTAACATCCTGTTTTTCTTCACCGACTGGGCTAGTGAGAGATATTTTGCCCAGGCAGCGATGCTACGTCGTACTCTTATACGGAATTCCAACTGTCAAGTTTTCTTTTACATGCACGTCAATATGTACACGGGACCTCAGTTTGTCGTCCCATCTGAACGACTAGACAGCTGTCCTTGTCTTACCCTCCGATCTGTACCACTGACTAGGGAAAACCACTCCTAAAAACCCCGAGGAACTTCTTCAGTCAACACAGGGAGTGAACCCGAGACCTCCAAGCTAGCGAGCCAGCGTCTTATTTACTGAGCCACCGTGACTCCCCGTAATAAAAACAAAGTAGTAAAAGATCACCCGAAACTACCGTGAATAGGCCGGCAGAATGCAGGCATCGTGCACAAATAGATTAAAAAAGTGAAATAAAATCAAATGGGGTTTGACGTCCGACTTTTCTACACAAACCTGACGAATGTGACAGATGGTCTTGCAAGGAAAAGCGGTCACTTGTTCGGGTGGAACGCAAACCGAATGCTAGTATCCCACTATCACGATTCGCGCTACGATTGAAATCGTGGTTTTAATCCTCCCAGTTCTCATCATATATTGTTGTCAGTCGTAGCAATCATGTTGGTCGTATGGGGATTGGAGACGTACCCTAACGTATCTGCACGTACCAGATCGTGGACTCAATAGGCACAATCCTATCGTAACGCGTCGCACGACGGTGGGAACCTAGCATTAGGTCCCGTGTACACGATTGCCTTTTTGGAATAAAAGTAGGCCGTAACATCCCTAGCCGGGCATAATTTTCCTCATAGCTCACAGTATGGTGTATTCTTGTCTTTGCCCGGATGGAGCAGAACAGTAGGACGTTAAACCCTGTTTCATATCATTTCATTCATGTAACATCAGTACGCAATTATTAAACAAACAAGTCTTTTTAATTAGTTTTAAAAATTGGAATCAAAGAACATTTGAATTGTTTTTTGTTTTTTGTTAAATTGTTCATAAAATTACTAACAAAATTATTATTAAAATATACGTTTCATACGAGTGAAATTATATTTTAAAGTTAAATTTACGACTCGTACCAACAAAATTATTTAAATTAGTTTTAAAAATATAGTTTTCATTCGAGTGAAATTTAAAATTATTACCAAAATTATTTAATTATATATTTCATACAAGTGAAATTGTTTTTAAAATTTAAAATAGCAGAAAAAGTAGATTATATTATTAAAATATATGTTTCATACGAGTGAAATTATATTTAAAATTTAAATTTACCAACAAAATTATTTAAATTAGTTTTATAAATATAGTTTCATTCGAGTGAAATATAAAAATTAATACCAAAATTATTTTAATTATATGTTTCATACAAGAGAAATTGTTTTTAAAATTTAAAATAGAGAAAAAGTAGATTTACCACGGACGAGACGCCCCCTGTATGCTATATCCTCAGTCTGCAGTAAGTAACGTAAGTCCTTGAAGAGCGTGCAGAGATTCTGTCAGCTTTGATGATATTGACAATTATAATCCTACAGGTTTGCCTTGTACCTGGCGGAGCTTAGAGTACAAGGGATCTTACACAGTGAAAAAAAACGTGCACTCCAATTTAATTGGTCTACTTATCTCACAGAACGACCTTGTATCTGACGGGGAGCCGCGGTCCCTATTTCAATCCCGGTGTTGTCCGAGAAAGTTCCTCAGGATAATTCAGAGTGATTTCCCCTTGTCAGTGGTGCAGGACGGAAGGCCTAGCAAGGAACGATGTCTAATCGTTGGGATGACACTGAGGCCGTGGTCTCGTGTTCAAGTTGATGTACAGGTAGAAGAACATTTGACAGTGTAAATTCAACTAATAGTCGGCGGAAACTCCTTGAAAATTGTCATTGGGATGAAAATGAAACCTTACCGCATAAGTCTATGATTTTGAACAATCCTACAGCTACTCGAGATTTTACGTGAGTGTCTTGTGTACATACAAAATATCGCTTCGAAAACTTAACACGCATTACCACCGTGAGAAACTGTTAGGTGACTATTTTAATGTTTCTTTAATTTTTATGATTAAAGAATTATTTCAATACAAATCATGGCGATATTGTATACCGATTGTAACTACAATATTGCGGCTAGAAACTCCGTTGCCCAGGCAAATTTTACCCCCTACCCCATTGCATGGCGCATGCAAATTTTCATTAGAACTTTTATTAAATCCCGTTTCATTATCATTTTTTTATGACGTCAATATGATAAATGGTTCATTTCTCAATATCATTTTCACAGTGTAGTAAAAACAAGCATGTGAATACTGATATCTTGTATATAGCCTATATATGAGAAATATATATATAGGCTATTTATATATTTACATAGTAATTAATAAACCTGACTATCGTATGTATATAGTTGTCGAGTGGTTTATAATTCTGGCATGAAAAACGTGTGGATGAATCTGTAATCAGATAGATGACCAGTGTTTAAACTCTACAAACAAAGCATTGTTGGTCAAATGTGTATTTCATTCAGTCTCGCACAGGCAGCAGGTGTATCGGTTTGGCTCGGTACCAGGTTTGACTTGGTTTCTGGCGCATGACACTCGCATGAAATTTTATCGGTTCCGGATCTGTTTGGGGTCTCTTCAAGTTTTTGTTTTTGAGGGGGTTTAATACTCTTGCTAAGGGTTGGGTACTCATTTGTCACAATATTATTTTATTATTTGTAGTTATATTCGTAATTATACTCATTTGTTTAATATCATTTATTATTAAATTAGTTGTTGTCTAGATTAGTCTGATCGAGGTATTGGGTGGATCGTGAATCTGTAAACTACAATCGAAACTCGGACATTGTAACACCGAACGACTATATGTTATATCTTGCCACTAACCTGGAGGTCGGGTGTTCGATCCCTGCATTGGCCGAGAAAGTTCATCCACATTTTCCGGCGTGGTTCTCAAGGAAAGCTGTCTAGTCGTTCGGATGGGACGAAAAACCGAGGTCCCGTGTACACATTGACGTGCACGTAAAAGATCCATTGGCAGTTGGAATTCGATATAAGAGTAGGCCGTAGTGCCGTTGTCCGGACAAAATTTCCCTCATAGCACACTGTATGGCATATGCCCGTCTCCATTAGCCCAGTTCGGAGCCAAACAGTAGGACGTTAAACCCCATTTCATTTCATTTCATTTATCTCTTGCCAGGCCCTCCGTCCTGCACCACTGACACGGGGGAACCCCGCCGGAAAACCCGATGAACGTTCTCGGTCAAACACAAGACCTCCAGGTTAGCGAGCCACCACGACTCCCATATTTGTTTAGACGTCCATTATATTAATATTGTATAAACAGTTAGCCTATAAGCCAACGCCGGTAAAATAAACACTTGAAGTAAACAAACTAGTTTAAGACCCGAGGAATCAATAACGGGGACGCACAAAAGCCCTAGAAAATATTCTAGATGTACTTGAACGCATATAACCCCAAACAAAAGCCTTGGGAGAACTTGACCACAGAAAAGCTTATCGGTCAACTAATTTTATTAGATCTTATAACTAAATGAACTGCAATGTAACGAAGCATAAATTTTATATAATATTCCGCTTAAAATAGACAACGTATAGTCGTGCGGGTGGCGTGAAAAACCGAGGTACCGTGCACGTAAATGAACCCTTGACAGTTGGAATTCGAAATAAGAGTAGTAGGTCATAGCGCCGCTGTCTGGGCAAAAGTTACTCATATCACACCGCATGGCGTATGCCCGTCTTCATTAGCCCATTCGGTGTTGAAATGTAGGACGTTCAATCTCTTTTCATTCATGTTTTAAATAACCGTAGACTTTCATAATTACCGATATACACTGACCTACTTCGAGTAATTTATTTTCCGTCAGCGGTCGTTAAACTTCTTGAAAACTGTTAAAAACAAATTTATACGACTGATGAAACATTTATATCGAGGGGGT